TTGGAAAAGAATGTGTTTAATTTGTTCAGGATAGAGTTGTTTAAAAGGGGAGGAACATAGAAATCCAGAAGATATGAAAACTGAATTTGGGTAAATATAGGATTTTGATTATAAATGAAAGAAAGTTGTTAAACTTTTTAATTAGATTCCAGTAAGTTTAAATTTAGGACACAGCCGTTTTGCATGTTGAATAGAAATAATGATGTCTGCAGTAAGAGAAACAAAAGAAAACTGTAAGAGGAAGATACGAGGGAGTTCCTGACAAACACATCAGGCAGAGCTTATGTGGTCTGAGTGGTGCAGTTCATTACGAAGGGAATTCAGCTAGGATCAGCAAGGGAATTTATTTAAGATGTGTTATTTTTTTAGGTTTTCAGGTCTGTTATTCCATTTATTGATTCATAAAACAACACACAGAAAAGATCTTGCTGAGCTTCTGCTTCTAAGATTTAAATTAAAGGCAAATCTAAGCATCAAATAGTCTTCTCTAACAGAGATTCATTTTTCGTTTGGAAATACCTTTTCCTGATGTCAGGGTTTCTAGAAGCTTTACTACCTTTCCCAATTTACCTTGGAAAGCTTATTTCATTAAAATAAATAACATTCACAGATAAATTTGACAAAACCTTGCACCACATGTGCTTCATTGTAATTTGAGAAAAGCATTAATAGGATTCTATGAGATTATGGATTTGAATCCACAGGGGCAGATGCTGTATTAACAACTTTGAAGCACTCTATCTGGAGGAAAGACAGTAGGCATAGGATCTCATTTGTCAGTATGACGAGGAATGACTCTGATCATTAGTTGCACAGCTAAATGGATAGAGGCAGAAAAGTGAGGAGGAAGGGGTGCTAAAAGATAACTGTGGTTAACATCTGAAAGTGAGGAGTAACTCACTTTCTGTGGGAGCAGTACTTCACTGACTACTGTAAATTAATTTTAGGGTATTTTTAAGAACATATTGAAAAGTTGAAATAAGATGGAGAATTACCAGCTTAGCTTACAAAACACTTACTTAGACTGAAAAGACTTTAAATTCTTTTCATTCATCTTTTCTGTAAGTGGCTTTAAAATGCCATGCCTAAGGTTGCTTTTGGAAGAATCTTCAATGAATAATTTGCAGCTTGAAAACTTACCATGATGTGTGCATTTAAATAGTAATGGGAGTTTGCTGATTGTTTAGGCTTGCTGGAAACCATGTTCTGTTTTTAATAATGCCATACAATAAGCATTTAATACTTTCTACATTGCCAGTAACTGGCTTCTGTAACTTCAGACTGTTTCTAGTGTTCAGATATAAAGGGCAGATATAAGGGCCGGGTTGTTTAAACAACCTTAATGCTAACTTTGGCACAAGATTGCTTTTCATTGTTGGTTTATACTTGTCACTGTCAGCATCTTCAGTCAACTGTCGTGGTACCTCCAGATAATAACATTAATCCTGCATAATTTAGATAAAAATCAAGTGAGTAGTTTATACATAGAAAGAAACAAGGATCCTAAGCATGGGAAGTATGCTTTTTATACAGAGTTCAGCTGGTATTTTTCTCTTGTAAACAGCCACAATCATGGCATTCTCTCTTTTTTCCCCTCTCCCCTTTGTAATTTAAAATCAAGGTAGGAGAGAGCTGAACACAGTGGGAGACCCACTGACTTTTTGAAATGCAGGTCTGGAAACTGCAACAAATGAAGCAAGGTTTTGAGATTCAAATGCTAATGCAAATTATAAAGTTAAGAGCATGTTGCTTTTCCTATAAAATGTAGATCTGAAACATTTCTCTCTTCAGGAAGAAGAATCTAATCTTTGTGGGATTCTTTGGATAAAATATATGAGCAAAATATAACCATTTTTTTTCTTCAAAATAACATTAGCCCTCCTCTCACTGTAGTGGAAGACTAGTATTGGTTTTGGTTCTCAATCATGTGTACCTAGGCAGTGGCTAAAATATTTGGTTAGAGCAGAGAAACTGGTAGTCCCATAAACAGCCCTAGGAAGGATACAAAAGGAAATAACAAGTCAAACTGCAGAATTTTTAGTGGAGGACTCTGTAAGTACACAATCTAAGTACACCATAAAATCTATTAAGTAATTGCTTTGAAAGAGAGTTATTTCATGTTATGACAATGTTGTTATAAAGAGGTACAGCAGAAGATATACATCAATATTTAACACATTCATAAAGGTCCACAGTGTTGTAGTGAACAGAGTTATAGACTTGCTAAAAGTCTACAGGAAGACAGCAAGAAAGACAGCCCAATTTGGAACCCACTGCAGACTACCAAGAAAGGAGGACCAGTTAAACAAAGGGGTTTTTTTATCAGCTAATAGAATTATCCAGGTACTGAATGTAAGGATAATTGGCATTTTGAGTACTGTGGCATCTCTTGGGAAACAGATGGACAGACAGTGCAAGTATTTGAAATATATTGGGAAAAAATGTTTTTAGCATGCAAAGTGAAGAAAACTACAATGAACTATGCTTAGAAGTGGAGAAGACAAAAAAGATGGGAAGAATTACACCCCATAAATACCTGCCTCTGCGGACTCTATGGAGAAATTGGATGGTACTCCAAGACCTAGGTATACACTGTAGGTATCTACGTTTAGATGAATGAATTCCGATATAAGTCGTATTGCTAAAAAAGTATTTAAGAAAACAGGCATGAAATAAGATACACCTATGGAAGGGCCCAAGCAATGAGAACATGTCTGTAACTACAGAAGTTGAAAGTTGGCAGTGAAAGATTTTCTGTCATCTGAAAACTAATTACAAACAGCCTAAACTTAATGTATCTTTTGCTCAGTCTTCATTAAAGCAAAATATTTCTTTGAGCAGATAACCAACACAGTTAAAATCAGTGCCAAAGTCCGAAGACTTAAAATTTCTCCATAGAAAAAGCAAATAAGAAAGCTTTTAAGCAAATAAGCTGCCTTTGATTTCACCAACTCCAAGGGCTGTTAGTTTCTGTGTGCTGTGAAAAAGTAATTAGGATAGGAGTCAGAAATAGGGAGACTGTGTAAGAAATCCAGGAGGCGATGCTTGCTCTGAAGCATTTTCCAATGTGATGTTTGGAAATTAAAAAAAGGGGAAAAAAAAAAAAGCAGCTCTGTACTGACTAGCCATCATATTTCTTTCTGTAGTGGGGGAAGGGAGGAAAGCCTGAATTCTTAATAAGGAGTAATCACTCTTTATAAGCAGGATATTTTATGCAACAGTACCTACATTTTATGCTTGAAAATTTGGTTATATCAATTACTATTAGAATATACCCTGGCTGAAGAGCATTAGGCCCTCAGAGTCATGTTTAGCATGCTAGCCATGCTCAATACGAATGGCTTAAGGTTTCACATACATACTTTCTCATTTTCTGGTTGTGTGCTTTTCAGGAGTACAGAAGCATTAGCTTCTGTACACTGAGCATAAATTATCTTTTATCTGTGAGTTTTATGGCAGTTTGTTATACAAGGTAATAGGATTTATGACCAAGAAATGAGAAGATGTCCAAGAGTTAATGAGGCCTGTCTTTTACATTATATTGAGCAGTTCAGTTTTTCCCATGCAGGATTCCAGCACTGGGATGTAGAGAAGAATTGCTACCTACACATGAAAAAGTGTTACACCAGCATATTTTTGTCAGTTACCTAACTCTTTTGAAAGATCATGTGAATACTTTGATAACCCTTTTTCTTGCATGCAGCTTTTCCTGTGAGTGCATGCCTGCCTTCCTTGTGAGAAATGATTAATAATTTAACATCATAGTCCAGCAGCTAAATACGAGCAATAGGAATTAGGAATCTCATCCCTTATTCTTGGCTCTTTATTACCATTTCATTGGAGAGAAGTAAATTGTGTAGTCTTTTGATCTCATAGTCTCCTAGTTTGTAAATTGGATACAACCCGTGTCCTTCTCTGAATGGGTACTGTGAGCCTCGTTTAGCTTTTTACAAAATGCCTTTATATCCTCAGCTCTGCACCGAGGTGGAACATAGTATTATGGTAATAGTAACAACAGGATTAATAACGCCCTTAATTAATAAGGCTGTACAGCTAATTAGTTAGGATGGTCCCAAGCACAATTTTAGTGGAAGCCAGTTATCATTCTCACAGACAGTGCCTGGGCACAGTTTAGGGTTAGCAAACATCTATGGATGTCTATGTTAAAAATATTATTAGTAGAAAAGTGGAGTTTTTTCCTACTAATAATACTTTTAACATTGGCAGTGTTTGTGTTCAGCTGAAAGATTGGCTTCCTCAAAGAAAAAGTTACAAAAATATGTATTTCTCGAAGATCAAGAAGGTTGTACATTTGTGAATTCCATAGACACTCATTCAAGTGACCTATAGGGAGCTCGAGGCACAGAGTCTTGTTGCTTTGTCAGCTGGATTAAGTTCCAACAGTGCTCTTTGAGAGCAGATACTGAACAGGTGTAAATGGGACCTTCAAGAGGCTCCAGGTCCAAATGACTCAGGTTTATTTCATGGTAATTTCTGCCTATGAAATGGTGTTGCTTCATGTTTACCAGAGAATTTCTGTGTTTTACTGGGTATCTGTGATCCAAATTTAATTCATTTTTGTCAATCACATGTTGAGTTGCGGAAGATTTGCTTGCTATCTTGTTTCTCACTGTTGCAAAAGGAAAATTTCCGTGGGATTTTCTCTCAACAGCTACATTCTTTGTAACTTAGTTCTATTCCAGAATCATCAAGTGTGTAGTATGAGATATACAAAGCTTATACAGTATCTTAGAAATAATAATTAGCTTTTGAAACACTCACATCCTTTTAAGCAGTTTATTTAGC